GCAAAGCCATTTTCCCCCCTAGTACTCTCTAGTAGAGCTCCAGTGACACCACTCCTTCCATGACTTGTTGATACCACCGTAACAAATGTATTCTCCTCTCAGCGTTACGGCCCTCTGAGCCATTCCTAACTTTATTTCCTAATTATCTCATAATTTTAGTTGCATCTGAACTATTTGATGTTCTGAGTGCACCAGCATTCGCCCCCACCACTCCCTGCCTTTGCTGATGATTATTTCTTCACCTGAATTCCTTCTTCCTTCTTATATTTCTAGGACTTAGAAAGTTCTATCGGTCCTTCCAAGTCGGCCACATCTTTCATATACACATAGACTTTCTTGATCCTCCTACTTCAAGGGACTCTCTTTCTCTTTGACACTTTATGTCTTGTCCACACTTTTCATGTGGCACTTAAGGTCTGCTCTGTATTATAACTATGTATCTATATATATATATATATCTGGCTCATTCTCCAATGAACTATAAGCTTCTTAGTGTAAGAACTTTTTCATTTTTAGATCCTATGTACCATCTTATATATAACTGATGCTCAGTAAACATTTATTTACAAAAAGTTAGTCCTTCCAGCCTAAGTTTCTCCTCCTCAATACTACTTTTCAAGAATATTGATAAAGTACAACTCAACCAAAAAGTATAAGTAAAAATTACAAAATTTTTAGAGATGTAGAATATTAATAAGCTACATTTCACTATTTTCTTGGGCCTACAAATTGTGTTCTTAACAGAAGATTAGGAATAAGATTTAAAGCTTAATTTTTGGATTGAACGTTTCACCTTTACTCTTCAAACCATTCTCTTCCAGAACCAAAGTGTATGGAAACCATTTGTAGACTCCAATAAATAGGCATTGGACAGTAACACTATAACAGTCATCTGACCTTTTTCTTGTCATACATGAAAAGAAAATTGAGAGCCCACTGGGCTTGGAAAATATTTCATCTTCAAAATAGTAAAACTTTTATGGAAATTGTGGAAATAAGCTGTTTTTCACTAGGTATCTCTTTGTTATCTAAGTTCACTCTATTTATTGACATAAAACAATTAGTAGTTAAAAAAATAAACAACAGGAGAAAAAGTTTAATTTGATAATGGTACTAAAAAGGAAGGATTTTTACCTAGCCCCTTTTGTTCTACCACTTCAGGTCCCCCCAAAATAATCACATGTACATCAAACAAAGGTGGGATACCTTTATGGTAACATATTTCTTAATTGTTTGATCCCAAATCCCTCCTTGATAAACATCAGATCTCATGACTTCAGACATAAATAGCCTTTATAGGCAGAATACAGATTCTAAATTCTGTATATATTCATCATCTAAGAAAATTTTAGCAATTTGTATTCAGAAAATGAATGTAATATGGAAGATGAAAAAGCAACCAATATTTATTTAGTTGCTATAGATAACCCAGACATCCATTTATGCTTCCTGCTGTACTGCCCATACTCCTGCTGAGGATCACTGCTCTGCTAAAAAGCAAAAAAAAAAAAACAAAACAAACATGCTTTTCCTTATCTAGGTAAACGATAAGTGATTTATTATCACCAAGTCATTTTTTTCCCAATAGTAGTAAAGGAAGGTATGATCTATGACCTGTGATCTAAGATCTCCTTCTCCCAGTTCCCTCTGGGCTTTAGGGCACCCAATTGTAAAACAAGTAGTACAATCGAAGGCCACAGCATGGAATGAGGAATACGGTCTGGCGGACACCTGAATTAAACCTGCAGCTTCTGCTTCTTACCCACTGTGCTGCTTTCTCCTGTGATGTCAAACATCTCAGAAGAACAACAGGGGAAAGCTTAAGACAATACTTTAATTAACTATGAAAAGAAAAATCATTCCTGTTTTTTTAAAAAAAGGTTCAGTCAGTAAAAACAATACTGGGATAGAACAAACTATTTTCCTTGACCATGTAGGCAAAGAGGTCAACTAAATGACAATGACCTGGACTCTAGGGAACTTAAACTGCCGCCTCAGCACTTTTATTCTCGCATTCAACTAGCTTTGCACAACAGCTCTTCATGGAAGCTTTTTTGGGAACATCTACCATGAATCACAAAAACCCTCTTTTTAGAGTGCATTCTATATTTCCTTGCTATTAAAAAGAAAAAAGTTAAGTAAAGGGATCTCAATCATATACATGTAGCTCTCTTAACTACAGAAAGCGAAAATCATTAACCCTGATTTGTAAAATGAGGTTTCGGGATATAAACCTTGAATTCTCATTTTTGTTCTAAAATATTGTATTCCATTTACCAAAGTATCTTTCCTTCTTCATCCAAAACCCCCGATGGGGAATTTTAGTAAAGCTCTCTTTCTAAGGAGGAGTTTGAGATACCCCCAACACACACACACACACACACACACACACACACACACACACATCAAGTCCAGTTTATCTGGTAATAAAGATGTACTAAAACTTAATCTGTGAAGAAGTTCCTTTCTATCTCCAAGTCTGAGACCAGTCCCAGAGGCTGTGTCATTCCAAGCCTGGCACTGGGGAGTGGAGCTTGCTTGAGGCCTCTCCACTGTGACCCAAGGGTAGAATCTTTAGCCTTGCCTGTTACATCCTGCCCGGGTTCTCCTCCCTTCCGGACCCTGTCCTGTTCATTAAGGGCTTCCCCAAATCCAGCTCTGCTGAGGGCCTGGGGGTAGGGAAGAACTAGAAAGTTGTGGAAAAGGAAGTAGAGAAAAAAATAGTTTTCTTCTATTGTTTTTAATTTACCAATTCAAAGAAATTATCACAGATTATTTGAAGTCACAGAATGGGTTATAGTTTTTAAATAATTTTCACTCTTACTGCAATTTGTATGCCATTTATATTCTTAATCTGCCTAATTTTTTAAGCAATTCTTGTGTGATTATAGTAGATTGCTATTTCTGTACTGAAGTTACTCATAAACGCGAATCCCAAAATGCTATAACTTTTGTATTAAATTTCAGGATTCTCAGAGCCATGTGGTTCCAGGCAGATGTAGTCAGAGGTAGAACTGCATTTTTACAGAGGACTAAATATTAAAGCATTATCCTATACAGAAAAGAAAGTTATTCTTAAGTAATAGAATGGAAATCAAGCCACGAAGTTATCACATAGTACATACACTGGCAGAAGAATATGAAATCATGAAGGCAATATGCAAAAAGATGCAGGAAGGTAAGGAAGTTCAGCCATGTTTTTTCATAGCTATTTTCCATGTACTTTAGCAGCATTCCAACAGAAAAAAGACAAGTACTGCCTTTTGAGCTTCTGACCACATATTTACCTAAAGTTTGAAAAACTCAAACCGATACAAAGGCATTTTCTTTCATCATAAGGATGCCATATTCTCAGATACGACTTGACTCTTTTGCCCCGTAAAAGGCAATAATTCCTACAAATATCCTCTAATCACAGCATTTATGCAATATTTTTCTTTCATGACATTATATGTAGCTTGAAAATAATTTCTTGCCACTTTTCACCAACCTTGTACTTTTCTTATAGATCTCTCTGAACTACCTTTTGCTTCTCCCCTTTTATACTTAGACACACATAGATCCTAGACTGCTTATAAATACTGTGTGTGAAATAGCTCATGAATAACAACAAAGTCAGATATGATACGACAGACAGGTCATTTTCTTAATGATTGAAATTGTACAAAATCGGATCCAACAGAATCAACAAGATAATCATAAACGTTATCTCCTTTTTTTTTTTAAATTGTTTGGTAACATTTTAAGCTAACTTTCATTATTAAAGCAAAACAAGAAACTCAAGTTTCTCCACTGAGGACAAGCAAGCCTGCTTGAATGTTTTAAAGAAAAATAGGCACTTCCTTTTCCTTCTTTAGATAACTTGATATTTCCCCTGCTATATTTACACAGTTCAGGAGTCTAGACAATGGCACGGTCAATACGATAGTGCAGGCACTGCTCTGCTGCCCTTTGCTCGACTCTTCGTTTTGCGGTCTGCACCCAAATACTATGTATTTTGTTTTGATTTTTAAGGAGCTCAATTTGAGTACTCTAGTCTACTTTTCCAAGCACTCACCTGCAAGCATTTTCTCTGAAACACTGAACTCTCTCTCTCTACAACAGCCCCCCCCCCCAAACTGATTAGTGTCAACACAGCTGCCCTATTCTGAGGAATGTAAACTAATATTGTTGTTAGACCTCCCTCAACCTTAGGAAACTTCCTCAAAGCCTTACAGTCTCTTCAGGAGTTTTTTTTTCTTTATCCTTTTGCCCAGTGATTTAAGTCCCTAAGACAAAATTGTTGAGAAGAGATCAGAAAGGCAAGTCATCAATTCCGTACATAAAATCCTGTACACTGTAACACACATTGATATGTATGCATGTATAAATATTTAACAATGCATTGCTCCAACATAACTTTATTTGTCATCACACAGTGAAAGGATAAGTCAATCGCCAGATGATAGTGACATTATTACAGTCCCCTCTGGATTTAGATGGGTCTCTGGATTGATATAATTAAAAACAATGATGGCTTTAAAAAAATCTCACCTGATTATTTTGAAAAAAGCTTCATTTGCTTTTAGGATGAAGTCTGGAGATATAACTGAGCTAAGAAGTTAAGACACAGTCAACTAATTTCTCTAACTGGTACAGGAAGACCCACCAGAGTAGTCATTTCAATGTATCTAGCAGAATGTGATCCGCTTTCTCAGTCTGTTCTTATAAAAAGTGATTTTATAAACTCCTGAATAGTGGGTTTCTTCAAATACATAATGTCACCCAGCCTGTTTTCTTTTTCATTTTCTCCTGTTTTATCTCCTACTTTAAAAAAAAAAAAAAAAAAAAAAATCTTACAGCTACCACAGAAAACATTAACCAAGAAAAGGAGATTCTTATATACAAGTTGCAAAAACATTACGTTGGGTGACCGAGAACCACAAATATGTAAGTTTTTATTTAAAAAATAAAAATCAAAAAGCATCTCTAAATGGAGTGCTAAAATCTAAAATCCTTACCTCACTAAATTGAGTCTGGGCATTGTTTTCCAGGTACAACATGTTAGCTGTAAGATTGATCAATGCTGCTGTCCTCTCTTCTGGCTCCAGGATTTTGCCAGCCCCCCCACCCCCTCGGAGACCCTTACAATATGAATCTACTAAGAAGATAACAGAACTCAAGTCCCTCTCTGTCTTTCTCTCTCTGTACATAATTTAAGGTTTCCTAATATATACCCAACTATAGGCATGAGGGGGCGGGACTCTTCTCTTTACCTGTCCAATCCATCAACTTCCACCTGGACTCCTCCACTCCAATGGAGTGAGGCCTCTCCCATCTCATTAAGTAGTTAGAATTCCTTATCACCAATCTTTAAAAGAAAAAGAAAGAAGAAGAAAAAAAAAAAAAACAGGAGACAGACAGGTAAAACTTTCCCTGTCTCTTTCATAAGAAAGCGCACTCTCTTTTAAAAACAAAACAAAATCTCCCCAAACAAACCGTACCACCACCACCACCACTTACAGAAGGCATTTCAGAAAGTTATTTTACTCTTTTGCACCTGGAAAGTAAAACTTCAGGAAAAGTTCTGGTAGGCTTTTTTTTGAAAAAAAAAAAAAACTAGATTCGGGGTTTCAAGAATGATTACACAAAGTTAGAAAATAGGGGAAAATACTCAAATCCATTGTTATATTTCATGAATATAAAAGTTAAAATCCACCGCTTGATAGCTGAAAAGTTTTCAATTTTTTTTTCCCAGAGAAATGCCAGTAGTTTCATATCAAGCAATGCAAACATAAGCCATTTGATTTTTCAGAGCTTGTTTCAAAAACAATTTAAACAATTGGTCCCGTTAACTTGTAAAAACAAGTAAACATCCATATTATGTACAGGAAAAAGAAATCCTGAGAAATGTGCCCTTAGGAAAAAAAAAAGCTTATCTATTTGAATATTTCTTTTCTCTCCTTTATTTTACCCGGTTTTTATTAATGCTCAAAAGTAATATCCTTTCTTGTAGATGGGTAATAAAAATGATGATTTTACATGATGCTTTCATTTAAATGATTAATAGAATAAATCTTAAAGCATGAGAGATTAACTTTTGCCTTAAAATATATTAATTTTTTCAAGTTGAGCCTAGAGATGTAGCCTTAAAATATATTTACATAAATACATAAGAACATTCATGTAGAATCTAGCTTCAGTTACCATGATTTAGTGAAGATAAAATGTACCCTGATGGTTATTATATAATTAGCTAAAAATATTCTCTTCCTACTACTGAGTATTAGTAATTCAGCTAGATTTAGATTTGTTATAAAATGTAGAAGACAAAAAGATTAGAAGATTAGAAGCCAAAATAGATTAATACATAAATTTCAGAAATAATTTGCAAATATGTTCATGACCTTGGATTTGCCTCCTCTTTACTTCTACTTTGGTATCCATAAAATGCCCGCATCCATAAAAGGATGATGTGATCGTTGGCTGATATTTATTTTAAGATCCCTGAATTACTGGTAATAATGCCTTCTGGTTTACAAGAAAAATCTCCCATAATATAATTTGATCTCAAGTATCCAAGAATATGACAATACTCTGCAACACTACAAATTTACGTCAGATAAAACATTTGTTTCTTCACTCAAATATTGGGAAGCATGACCTCTCTTACTACCTGTAATTAACCAAATGATCACTGGCTACAAGACAAAAAAGAAACGCAGTATAATTATTTGCACCGTGTATTTAAATTCTACACCCACTGACAGCTTAAGGGTCAATAGTGGAAAACAGATGGTTGCTCCTTAAAGCTGTGCTCTATTCCTGTGGTGCAAAAGCTTGGATAACTCTGAGAATCATCCTGGGTGTTTTTTAAAAACAGATTTCTGGACGTGGCCCCAGATCTACTGAATCAGTCTCTCCACGGCTGCAGCCCAAGTGGATTTTATACAGCCTGCTCGACAGTTCTGAATGAGTCACGCTTGGGAATCAATGCTAGAGGAAATGCTATTAGCACAACTGCCCCAGAAAGTCATTATTGGATTGCTTTTTACACTAATGGGATAATGTAACCATTTGAACACCTAAATCTAGGGCTCACAGTCTCAAGTGTTGATGATATACACTCAAAATGCAAACAAACTTCATTGTGCACAAAAGTCAAAAGATTCTCAGTGGGATTTGATGGATGAAAAAGTCAAAGTCCTTCTGTGTACCACTTCGACCTTTAGCACAATCAAATCTGACAATGGTCTCTAACATATCTGCAAAGATTCCGGACAAAATCTAGAACCATATATCCACCAAGGCTACTTGAGAACTTTAAGTAGTTGAGGAGAAAGAACACTGGACTGAGAGTTCAGAGATATGGGCCCTGTTGCCAGCTCTGTTTTTAACTAGCTCTGTGCCCTTGGGGCAAGTTACTTAACCACTCAGGATTCAGATTCCTCATTTGTGAAATGAGGGGCAGAACTAAATGATTTCTAAAGACCATTACAAAGATAAGAGTCTCTGTCCAGAATTCAGGGAAGTGATTTAGAGGATTACTCATGTTTCTCTTATTTTACTTGGATATTTGTCCCTCAGTTTGCTCATCTCCATATTGTACAATTGAAGCAGTCAAGTTGCATAGATACTTAAGATACTTAAATGACATAAAGAAAAGAGAATAATTCATTGAAGGAAAAAAAAATCCACATGTCTTTTGCTTTAAGATATCCTCACAATGAAAAATTAGCTAATAGTCCATATAAATTTGAATTTAACACAAACATTTGCATAAAAGAGCTAATTCAAGTACATCATATAATGTTTGATTTCAGAATTAGTGTAAATACCTGGTATAAAAATGCATTGATTTAAGCAGGTGGTTACAAAGAAGTAACAATTCTCTGTAGTTAACCTTGGAATGATGCTTACACAGGGACTCAAATGTTTAGTAATGTACATTAATTTTCCTAACAACTTAGTGATGTAGGTATTATTATCTACATTTTACAGATAAATAAACAAATTCAAGGATTTTAAGTGAATGTCCCAAGTCCTGAGGAGTTAGAACAACTCTGTTAAGAGCATATGCCCTTCCATTCTCAGCCGCTTCCCCAGACTTCTTAAGGCTTCATGGCCTCAGAATTAGGGGTCACGCTGCCCCTGGATGAAAATGCCACTGCTGTAAATCCACAGCTTTGGGAATATAAATCCAAGACATGGGATCAACATATATTCTTTCCAGAAATAACAAAATGTTAACATTTTATTGAATATCCTTCTTTAATAGTTATTCAACTCTTTATCATAAGTGCTGTAAATATTTTTCCACATATGTGCTTGCATGTGTATTTGTTCTTATGTGTATCTTATGTCTGGTCTTTCAGATTTGCATATGATACTATGATTTGCCTTTTGGTGTAGAAAAATGATAATTTTTTCCATAGTAAAATTTACCATTTTTCCCATATGACATTGGTTTATGAACATTGTTTGAAAGGCTTTTCCCAGCCCAATGTTATAAAATTCCACAAACATATTACAATATCATATCATGGTTTTTGAATTTAATGATATGAAAATATTTTAACTTTCCAGAATTTATATTTGTGTGAGAAACAAAGGAAGATCTACTCCTACCCACAAAAAATAATTGATCTTCATCATTTATTGAATATATATTTTTCTTAGATTTGAAATCCCAAACCAAATATCAATGGCTCAATTTTCTATCTCTATGTGAGAAAGTTAAACACGTATATAAATCCTTGGCACACAGAAAATATTTGTCTGAACTCTTCATTCTTGCTGTGTGAAGTTTGGTAGGGAACAACACACAGTGCCTATAAAATACTAGAAATTAAGAAATGGATGTGATTTTGTGCTCTTGGATCTATGTCCGCATCCAATGGGTGGAGGCAGGTATAGATGAAGGGACATGGTTAGGTTTCCTGAAGCTGAGTAATAGAGATAATGGGTTCCAAGAGAAGATTTTTTTCCTATGGAACTGAGAGTAAAGTGAGGTTAGAAAATGCCAAGGGCTTGGATAAATTTGGCTAGGATTAGGTAGTTATTTATTAAGGGAAATAAAAAATTGATGGCTTGTTTTTATAGCAACAGTTGAGACTTTAAAAAGGAATGTGTAGTTGGTTCTAAAAACAGTTGTCCCTCAGTTATCCATGGGGGGATTTGTTGTAGGATCCCCATGGCTACCCAAATCCATTAATGCTCAAGTCCCTTATATAAAATGGCATAGTATTTGCATATAACCTATGCACATCCTCCCACACACTTTAAGTAATTTCTATATTAGCTATATTAATAATTCCTAATACAATGTAAATACTATGTAAATAGTTATACAGTATTTTATTTGTATGATTTTTATTGTTGTATTTTTACTTTTTATTTTTATTTTTTCTGCATATTTTCAATTCATTGTTGGCCGAATCTGTGAATGCAAACCCAGCAGATATGCGGGGCCAACTATTTATCGGTTCTTCTATGTTTTAACCAAAAATCTAACTGATTGAGAAAGAAAAAAGAATATACAGAAATGTCTCTACTTTCTCCCCTCCTTGCTAGAGTTTCCTCACCATCACTTCATCTGTCCTAAAGATTCCGATGTCACTCCTCAGGGTGCCCCAATGCCAATGGGACCAAACCAACTATTTAGACAGGCCCTTTGAAATCTGTCCCCAAACCACCCTTTCGGCTTCAACTTCCTTATAATCCACTCATTCTTCTTTCTACATGCTGGCCCCAGCTAACCATTTCTGTCCCTTTGCTCAATCTGGTCCCTCAGTTTGGAATGCCTTCATTCTCTTTACCTGATATATTCATTTTCAGATTCTTTCTTTTCTTTTTTTTTTTTTTTTTTTTTTGAGACAAAGTCTCACTCTGTTGCCCAGGCTAGAGTGCTGTGGAATCAGCCCAGCTCACAGCAACCTCAAACTCCAGGGCTCAAGTGATCCTACTTCCTCAGCCTCCCAAGTAGCTGGGACTACAGGCACATGCCACCATGCCCAGCTAATTTTTCTATTTCAGTAGAGATGGGGTCTCACTCTTGCTTAGACTTGTCTCGAACTCCTGACCTCAAGCAATCCTCTTGCCTCAGCCTCCAAGAGTGCAAGGATTACAGACGTGAGCCACCGCGCCTGGCCTCAGATTCTTTAAATGTTACCTGCGTGAGGAATTCTCCAATCCCCTACCT